CTATACAACGAAACAAGCTTATTACACGTGCGTCTTATGATATATAGCTGGTCAAAGTGAGAGGCAGCTAGTCTCTCATTCATGTGCAAGTCTGTTGTAGCTATACACATTATACGCGAGGACGCATTGTAGTAGTGCTATAGAGGGCTCGAAGAAATGAATCTCCGCTGCTGTACGCGCTCGCTTCTTTTTCTTCCTTCGTTCCAATTCGGTTACATCTCGAGTTCTGTCGAGTGGGGAGGGAATAGACGGTGGCGGCGGCTCGGCAATCATGATCATTATGATGATGATGATGATGCCGACGAAGACGAGGTGTCGCAGACAATGACGGAGCGCGCGTCAAGCCGCATGATTCGAGTCAGTCGAGCGCTCGCGCCTGAGCCGATCTCCCAAATGTAGAGCCTCGTCAGTTCGAGTCCGAACGCTCGACAAGAACGTTCGCGCGCGCTTACACGGCGTTTCGGAGCGTACGCGACACTCTCGGCATGTATCTGTCCGGGCCAAAGCGCGACTATTGCCCAGTGTTTTTCTATGTGAGTGTGTGCGTGCGTTAATGTGTGTCGTAGTGTTTTCATACATATAAATAAATATAAAAAGCCTGCAGGCGTGGAATCCCATACGAATGCAGAGTGAAGTGACGTTAAAAGATACGAGTGCTCGTACGCGTGCAGTGTGTACCTTGCCCGGCTACTTAGTGCGATGCCGCCGAGGAAATAGACAAGTGCTGACGATCGAGACGCTGCATGTGCGACGACGAGGTACTACACCGTACAGGCGCCGTTTGCGCGTGTCTAACTTTTTTTTTTCTTCAACCCGGGCCCTCAAGAAACATATGTGCATGGGCGACACGTTCGAGGATTATCTGTTTTTTTCCTCCTTTTTTTCTACGATATATTTGCTCCACGCTCCAAGACGCTGATCCTCTCCTGCTTTTTTACATTATACTCCTCGGTGATATTTGCATTTGATATGCGAGTGTGCAACGCGTGTGTGTGCAAGAGCGCGCAGTCTGTGACAGGGACTCGAGCGGAAATATGTGCACGAGCTGCGACACGATGAGACGACATATTTCATCGACTAGATTTTATATAGACCCGATTAGAACTGCATATATGTATATATCGAAGCGCATCGAGTTAATACAGAGCGTATATACACACAGGCGCGATCTATGCTCATTGCCGCGAGTGATTTCCTGCACGAGCGAATCTGTTTCACGGCACTATCGTTAAAATCGCGAGAGAATTTTGTCTGCGGATCGTATTTGTATGTAAGAAAAGCGCAGAGGAGAAGCGAGTGAAAGAGAGAAAAAAATCGATATTGACGGGTGCAGGCATGAACTATAGATGCACTCGTTCGTATGGATTTTTTTTTAATATTTACGGCGCATACGCTGGCCATATTGTATTATGTGCTTCATGTAAATAATGTATACATATTCGTATATATTATACGCCGAAGCTCATCTCGTTGCGCTATTCATACGCTGATGTTTTTATGCTCATCATTTTCGACTAACGAGATTTATCTCGATGACGATTACGAGCGCGTATTATATATAAATGTATATATATATGGGCGCGCTTGTAGCAGGCCTGGAGCGGCATAAAACGATGATTTATGTTTTTCGCGTTTTGTGCGTGCAGCAAAATCAGCAGCCAGCACAGCAACAGTCGCCGTAGGACGCTATAACTCCAGGAGGAATGCCAACTTATAAAGATGCGCTTGCTCACCTAAGGGCACTCCTGCCTCGACTCGCCGCGCGTATATAGAAAGAGCTTCGGCCGGCAAAAAATGTAACGTATGTTCCGCGTCGCACGCAGCAATCGCCTATAGTACGATATCGATTTGTCAGCTCTGCGGCTGCGAGCCAATATAATAGAATAATCAGTTGTTCCATGATTTTTCCAATAGTGGGGCTGCAGCGTAGACACTTTTCTCGTTTCACGCATAGCTCTATACATGGGATGGAAAACGCCACGGAAAAGGTCAAGTTGAGCCAATACATTAGCGCGTGTTATTTTAACGACGATAACGACGAGGAGGAGCACGACGATGATAATTATTGCGCCGTATGAGAAGTCGTCACCAGAAGATTAGCCGAAAATCCCTTTCAACCGGCAAACTCGTCATTCGGCTGTTCCATGGCGTCGGCACACTCGGCACAGCAGAAAGTCGGGGAACGCGAGCAATTTCGAGCCACTCGAAACGATTAAATTTCAATATCGCGTCGTAATTATCCACGCGCGTGCGTGCACGGCATGGAGCGCACGAGACAGATGGCTCGGCGAAAAAGGATTGTTGTCGGGTGCAACGCTAACGGTGGCGGTGGTGGCGCGCTCATTCAAAAGTCATAAAAGCCAGGCAGCAGCAGATCGGGCACACTGCGGATTCCAGCACGAGTCCCTCTAATCAATCTCGGCAACAACTCCCTCGACGTATTACACGTCGGAACCGAGAGACAGAGATGGAACTGCGAGCTGCAAAAGGGCTGCGGGAGCATAAGGGCCGCGCGACGGGGAGAAGGGGACAAATTAATATATCATCGATATAAGCATTTGGCTCGGTGCGTGCGAGCAGAGAGATTACACGTAGCAGTAGCATAACAGCCTAGAGCCACGCGCAGGCTGCAAACCTTGCGTACGTTATGGACTGTAGAGATCGCACGCGAGGATAAAGCTCTCGGGCTCGAGCCAGGCGCATGACCATATTCAAAGTTGAATCCGTCCGAAGGCTCACGTGCGCATATCGTGCGCGCGTATATATGTGCATCTGTACCAACATTTGTACCAAGTCTCGCTCGAATTTATATGGAAAATCCGGGAAAGTTATAGAGGCTGGTCATTGCGGCACGACTGCTGCTAGCCCAGGATTGCGCCGCTCGCAGAGAGAGGCTGGATAGCGAGTTTATACTTGCGCGTGCAGAGCAGAGGGCGAGGGGTCACGCTTTGTATCAAAGTTCCCCTCCCGCGTCGCGCCTGGGCCACCTCGACTCCCTCTACTTATACGTATATACGCAAAAGACAAACGCCATCACGTACATAACTGAATCGCGCACGTGTATTTGTAGGTAATGGAGACAACTGGACGACTGTGCTTTAGCTTGGCGTGTAACCCCTTGAACCCGCAGCACGAGACGAGTCTGTGTACGGAGCGCTTTATATTTCAGCGATGGGCTAAACTTTCGAGCCATGTGCTTTTCTATCTCGCTCGCCCACTCGCCCACTCGCTACTGCAAAATCTCCCCTCTCGCGTACGCCACACCGAGTCGAGCGCCTGCACTCTGTATTGTATGTATACACACTTATACACTTAAACACACGGAGAGTCGCAGAGACAGCAGCAGCAGCAGCTCTACCGTAGCTTTCTCTCGCTCTATGCTCTTTACTCTCTACTCTTTATGAATATAATTATCTCTTGATGGCGCGAGCCTTAATTAGATTCCCTCTGTGTACGTACGCGTGTATATAGCGTTGCATTACCAGCGAGGAATTACGAGGTTTGCCACTGACAAGAGAGCACGCTGTGCAGCTGCCGGGGTGCGAACGCGCCGGAATGCGGTATTGTGTCCTTTCGCGCCTGCATCACCTCCAGAAGAATTGCCTCGTAAAGCTTATGGCTGCACCTGAAGCGCGCGCAGTCGGCTGATAATACGTGCTCGGCTGCCCGGTCATCCGTCCTCTCCAAAGTCCTCGATTCATGACCGAGATAACATTGATTTTTGCTCTCTCGTATTGTTAGCCACGAGAGATCGTGAGCGAAGCCTCGCATAATATTCACGACAGAAATATTATCTCGTAATGACGCGTAATTTCCGACCCGTTTAGGTTTATTCGAGAGGAGCTGCGACTAGTTTTCGTTTACGTATTCAGAAGCGACGCGAGATCGTATCTAATGTGCGATTTCTCCCCGCGGGCAGTAGCAGAAGTAGCAACAACGGCAAACCTGTTTAGTCGATCATGGCTATACGCGTATGCTGATGCATACGTGCGTGGAGGATTACAGCGTGATTGATTGGCCATATTTAAACTGGCGGGTAATAAAAAAATCAACGCGCTCGCGCACACGCCTCTCGAAATCCCAAATTTATTTAATTCAACGATGTCGCGTGGTATCGTATTACCGTGCGCACGACGTCGCGACACCACCACCAGCGTATAACAAAAAAAAAAACAGAAGAGAGCCAAAAGCAGGCTAAAATATTATAAATCACAATTATTATCGCGCGCGCGTGTGTGTATGCACAAGTCGCAAAATTAATAGGCATTTCATGATAATTTTTCCGGCTCCGTGGCCATATCCTCGGACTTTGAAAATTCCAGCGTGGTTTTATACGCATTCATCCGCGCAAAGAAGTCCGATGATTTATGTCGATATAACGCTGATGCAGTGCAATAAATTTTCCTTCCGCGGCTGTTGGTATTTTCACTTTATATAGCTGTGGTATACGTATATAAGCTTCGGATAGCGTGCGCCAACTACTGGTCTTAACTTTAGCCGCGCGCGTTATACGCATCGAAAAGAAAACTAGCGCTTCGAGTGCTTTGAGCTTTGACCGTGCGCAGCTGATTCTAGCGCTGATATTGCGATAGTAGCCAAGCGATTCGCATTCCGATGCGTCAAGAGCGCACTCGACCATTATAATGCAATCGTTCAATAAAAATGAGAATATACATCGACGACGAAGACGAAAGTCTATAAAATTGTATCAATTCGCCGCAGCTTATGTATTCTCTGTCCATCAATCCGACAAAATAGCAAATACTCTGAAATTAATATAATACGCCATATCCCACGAATTCTCAGCCTATTTTTCCGGAGAAGCTACGTGACAGTCTTGCAATAGACACGTTTTTGCGCTTATATCAATACCTTCCAAGAATACGCTCATTTTATACAGCAATAATGTAGCGAGACAGTTGCGAGCGAGGCGAATTTAGCAACAAAAGACACGTATATAATAGCGACTAACGAGTCCCGTTGTTCTCTGAATGTTTCAGGATAGTAGCAGCTGAAACGGCTAGGAGGCCGCGCCGCATGTGGAATGGCGGATCTCGGGCAATCGCTGCCAGCCGACAGAACGGCCGGCAAGACGGGCAGAAAGAATGGCTCGGTGTCGGCGCTGTTGCTCGCGAGCTTACTACTGGTGCTGCGAGTTCCGGAGGCTCGGGCGGGCCTCTGCCCGTCGATATGCAAGTGCGATGACGATACGCTGAGCAGCAGCTGCGCCTACGCCGGCCTGGACATCGTGCCGATACAGCTGAATCCGGGCCTGCGCCAGTTGGACCTGTCGGGTAATCGCATCAGCAGCCTGCACCGGACCTTCGACTTTTACGGCAATCTGGCGAGTCTGGACCTGTCGAGCAACCTCGTGCACACCCTCGGCGCCAACAATTTCCAGTCCAACGGCCACATGGTCTCGCTGAATTTGAGCAGCAACGCTCTCAGTACCCTGGCTAAAAATGCCCTGCACGGCCTGAAGATGCTGCGCGAACTCGACCTGTCCTCGAACAACATAAGCGACCTCGATCCGCAGGCCTTTCGCTACACGACCGAGCTCGAGCGTCTCGACCTGAGCGGCAACTCGCTCACGAGCCTGCCCGACGACCTGCTGAGGAATCTGCACAAAATTCGCGTGCTCGCGCTCAAGGGTAACTCCCTGCTGGAGGTGCCTTCGCCCAACCTGGCCCTCGCGCCCAGCCTCGAGTTTTTGGATCTCTCGGATAACCTGATTCAGGAGTTGGGCGGCTCCGTGGCGGTGCCTTCGCTACCGGCCCTCGCCACGCTCAGCTTGGCCAACAACGTGCTGAGAAGCCTCGCCGACGACTCGTTCGAACGTCTGCCCGGCTTGAGGAGTCTCGACCTGTCGGGCAACAATCTTACCTACGTGCCGACCGGGGCCCTGGCGCGGCTCGCTGTTCTCGACACTCTCCTGCTGACTCGCAACCCGCTGGGTGGGCTGCGCGATCTGGCCTTCCGGAGTCTCTTCGAGCTACGCAGGCTCGAGCTCGAGGACTGCTCCATCAACTTCGTGGAGGCGCGAGCTTTCGCGGACAACGTCAACCTCGAGAGGATCTCCTTGGACGGAAATCGGGAGCTGAACGAGCTGCCGGCTCGCGTGCTCTACGCCGCAGGCAATCTCAGGTTTGTGTTTGCATAGTTTATAACGCATTTAACGACGAACGTTCGACCCAAACCATACCCGTATCGACCCTCGCGCCATCGGCCCGTGTATTATGAACCGTGGAATTATTAAAGCATTGAAATTGCGTCGAGCTTATCGTCGTGCCGTTGGATTTGAAGAATATAAGCTCGCTCTCGTCTCTCCTCTCATTGTGATTTGCGTGCGCTTTGTTACGAGCCGGTGCGCGACTGCGAGTATATTATTTACGATCGAGGGAAAGAGGCGGGTATGCTCGCTCATTGACTTTTTCAACCAAAAGAAACATCGCTCAAAGCTCGAACCCTCGCGCAAAAATATTTCAGTGTACAAACAATACAACAAAATGTTATATTAATTTTTCGGAAAAGTTGAAGCTACGGCAGTAGCTACAGAAGAAGAAGAAGAAGAAGAAGAAGAAGAAGAAGAAAAAGTCTAATCTACCAGAGGATTTTCTTCTTTCGTGATATTTATGAAAATATTATTAAATTTGTGTATGAGCTCTTTGCCGCCCGCGCGCAACTCTCGTGAGCATACACACCCATACGGATTTTTTCGGCTAAGTCGGTGCGCGTATACGCAGCAGAGGCAACATGAAAAATATTACACAGAAGCCTCAAGGGACGACATTGCGCACACTTGTGACTCTGTTCTTGTGCGCCTTCGAGTCTAGGATATAGTATGCGCCGTGCCTCGTACTCTAAATCCTCATTTTTTGCCTCCCGCGCGCTTACTCGTTATTCATATTATTATACGATATACATTATAATAATAACTCGAGTTTTGAACAAATTTGCATGTGTACATGCGAACGAGCGCGCGAATTTAAAATGAGACTTGATCTCTTTTTCCTTTTAATCTCTCTTACTCTACTGAATTAAACTTCATCGTATACGATTCGTTTGATGAAACAAGCGATGGGAAGGATGGCGTAAGCGAAATAAGAAGGAAAAAAACAATATTTTTTCCAATATTCATCTCCTCGAGCCTCGCAACTCGATGGAGTTTCTGTGTAACGCTCGGATTCTATCGGCGCGCCTACGTACAGCCGGCAAAGCACTTCTATACACGTAACGTATACGTATATAACGCGAGAGCGAGGCAGCGCTCCAGCAATCCGTTGAAATCGAAATTCATAATCCTTGGCACCCCCCGCGTACTGGAGCGCGCGCCTGCATCGGCAGCTGCATAAGCCGCGCAGCCTATATGCATGGATAAATTTGCTCGCGCGCAGTGCATAAAAAAATCAGCAACAATTCGGAGCATTTTCAACATGGCGTGAATATAGCATTATACAGACGGCTCGGGCGCGATCGCACGTATAAGCTCGAACGGCGCAGCTGCAGCAACAGCATCCGGAGTGTCGCGTCGATTAAAACGGACAAATGGAAAAATCGCGTTTTCGAAAAAAAGCCGTAGCTGAATGCGAGAGAGAGAGAGAGAAAGAAGCGCAACGCAGGCACAAAGCTCGCGAGTTTCGAAAGCTGTACATACGACAGGCGGTTGTAGCTGCGCACGCGTGCGGAGCAACGAGGCGCTCGGTCTAGCGTGAAGGTAAACGCACCTACGCCCGCGCACCATCACAGCTTCAATCAGAGAGCGATAAATTACGACTACTGCGCACGTGAGAGCTTTTTAGGCTCGCTTAGCTTTGTCTCGTCCGCCGATGCTAGTGCTGCTGATGCTGCTGCTGCTGCTGTTTTACTGCAGCCATCTCCATTTATTTGTCTCTATATATATACACACATGCACACACACAAATACACAATAGGTATATATATATTGTCTGTGCGTACATAAAGGCTGCTGTTACCACTGCTTGCCGCTCACTCTCTGTTTTTCGCTAAATTTACCAGGTTGGCCGGCTCCTCCCGTTCTCTCTCTCTCTCTCTCTCTCTCTCCTCTTGCACTCTCGCTTCTTTTAACGGCGTAGATTCATTCTACGCTCTTTCATGGTGCTATATGGTGGAGAGAAGCGAGGATTTTCTCGGAATCTCTTTTAGCCGCTAGCAGTATAAAGTGATGAGCTTTTTTGGCTTTATATATACCTATAGGTAGACGTATACGCTCGCAATAGCAGTATAACAGCTCGTGCAGTATAGCAGTACAGCAGCAGAGCAGTACAGCAGTAGCATATAGAGCAATGGTGGCATATATAGAGAAGAGTAGCAGCAGAGGGCTCTTCTCGTTTTTAATTTCGAGCTTTTTTCGCGGTTCTCGACGTTAAAACGCGCGCCTGTATCGCACAGCTGCCTGTAATGAAAAATAATTTTGCACCTCTCATTTGGACACGTGATTACGCAGTTTTTTTCTCTCCTCCTCTCTCGCTCTTTTTCTGCTTGCTAATGCAAGCGAGCGAGTCTGCTGCTCGTGCATTTCGACGAGGATGCTAGCCGCAGCAGCGAAGCGGCAACTCGTCAAACACACGCACGAGTACCGAAACGCGCAGTGTATGTACGTGTGTGTGTGTATGTACACTGTACTGACTGTATACGAGTAAGAGAGAGAGAGAGCATTTTTCGACTCACAGCGCTTGAAATCACGAATGTTAAAGTGACTAGCGCAGCTGAAAATTCAGTCGAGCACGCGGGGCCCTTATACCGGTAGCTCTCGCGCGCGCCCGCTCCTCCGCTGCATAGCTCGTCGGCCACTCCATAATTCAGCTCGCGCGCGCAACCGGCTATCGCTGTCTCTGTTTATTTCTCTCGTTCAGTCGCTCGTATCAAACTGCGTACACGCGCTCGAGCCTCGACGCACACGCATACACGCGCGCACATCGAGTAATCTAATAACGTCGCTTACAAGCCACTGCTCGCGGGGTCCACTCGCACGAGGCAGCGGCTACGTGCATTTAAGCGCGCACGCAGCATAATGCAAATGACTAATACACGCACAAGCAGTGTGCCTAGGCATATATATGCGTGTGCGTGCCTGCTCGAGACAAGCGCAATCACAGGATGGGGCTAGATACCATGCGTAAGCGCGCCTATGTGCAGCTAGCAGCTCCTGTGTATATGGACTGTTTTAATATAAAACAGAGCGGCCAAATCCTTTGGCTTCGCCGCTGCGCTATGGTCCGAGTGCTCGCTGGCGAAAGCGAATATAGCACCGGAGCTTTTATTGCTAAAACGGCTTTTCGGCGCTGGGATTAGCCGATTTATACACGCTTATGTGTCCCATTAGATATATATGGGTCAAAATAATACTTTTTTACAAAACCGTGCGCACGTATGTCACCGATCTTGACGCGCTTTTGGTATGTTATAGTACATGGTAAAAAGGTCCCAAAAAAAAATTTTTAGACCCCCTCCCCCCTCCTACCCCCCACTTCCGGTATAAACGTCCATTTTCGATCTATATTTTTTCTGAGGACATGAAGCAAGTAAAAAATCTGAAAAAATTCATAAAAATACTTTTCCACAATCCAAACAACCTTGAATTTTTTCAGATTTTTTGAGTGCTTCAGGCCTTCAGATAAAATCATTGAAAATTTCAAAAATCGAGATACGGCGGTATGAGCCGATGTAGTACTCGGAAATTTTTTCAGTTATTTTTCGCATTAAAAAACATAACCTCAATTTTTTTCAGATTTTTTCAGATTACCTAACGCACCTTTTGAAGCCAAAAACCGATTTTTTTGACGAAAATAATTTTTTTAGGACAGTACGGAGCCTCGAAAAATCTGAAAAAAATTTTTTCTTGTTTTTTTCATCAAAATACGTAATCTCAAATTTTTTCAGATTTTTTAATTGAAGGCGATAGCTTCTAGGGCCGAAAAATGCTATTTTTAACAAAAAATGGTTCCTAGAACCCGATGGTTCCGGTGAAAAAATTTGAAAATATTTTTTTTGAATTCCTTGTCAAATTTTAATAAATTTTGACCGTTTCAAAAGTTCGATTGAAGCTTCCTAGCTCATTTTAGAGCAGGACAAAGATTAGTGCAAAATATCTGAAGACGTTTCTGAAGACATTAAGGAATGATAAAACTCGTTTGATGCTCTAAAATGAGCTAGGAAGCTTCAATCGAACTTTTGAAACGGTCAAAATTTATTAAAATTTGACAAGGAATTCAAAAAAAATATTTTCAAATTTTTTCACCGGAACCATCGGGTTCTAGGAACCATTTTTTGTTAAAAATAGCATTTTTCGGCCCTAGAAGCTATCGCCTTCAATTAAAAAATCTGAAAAAATTTGAGATTACGTATTTTGATGAAAAAAACAAGAAAAAATTTTTTTCAGATTTTTCGAGGCTCCGTACTGTCCTAAAAAAATTATTTTCGTCAAAAAAATCGGTTTTTGGCTTCAAAAGGTGCGTTAGGTAATCTGAAAAAATCTGAAAAAAATTGAGGTTATGTTTTTTAATGCGAAAAATAACTGAAAAAATTTCCGAGTACTACATCGGCTCATACCGCCGTATCTCGATTTTTGAAATTTTCAATGATTTTATCTGAAGGCCTGAAGCACTCAAAAAATCTGAAAAAATTCGAGGTTGTTTGGATTGTGGAAAAGTATTTTTATGAATTTTTTCAGATTTTTTACTTGCTTCATGTCCTCAGAAAAAATATAGATCGAAAATGGACGTTTATACCGGAAGTGGGGGGTAGGAGGGGGGAGGGGGCCTAAAAATTTTTTTTTGGGACCTTTTTACCATGTACTATAACATACCAAAAGCGCGTCAAGATCGGTGACATACGTGCGCACGGTTTTGTAAAAAAGTATTATTTTGACCCATATTTATATACGCGCACGTGATATACGTATATGAAAAAATCATCGCAGATCCCATTTTTATTTTCACGACCGCCGAAATATCGCTCTTTTATTCATTTTCTAGTGGCGAACGTATACGTATAGCATGGGGGTATACAAAGAACGCACCCGAATATGATCTTCTGAAAGCTGGTTCATCTATCTCGTTAGCTTTTTCCATTACATGAGTGACGAGGACAAGCCATTTCGCACAGTCTCATTGTTTTTTATTTCTATCGCGATGACACTATATACATTCGTGGGGCTAAGGTAATTGGAAAAAATTTAATAATGTTTTTTTCTTTTTTTTTTTTNTTTGGCTCGATGTATGTTTTTTTTTTTTTTTTTTTTTTTTTTGACTCATACTCTTCACACGAGCTTTCGTGTTTTTATACGCACATATCCCAGCTCTTACATCATACTTTTCGAATCCTATACGTACTGCGTGTGTATGTGTGTGCTTGTGTGTGTGTGTGTACGCAGTGCGCCCGTCGTACAGTATGCACGACATAAAATGCAGTGGAAAATCCTCGGCATTATTTTACGTGTCGAGAATGCGCACGTCCCGCTCTATATGTGCTCTCCTCTCTAAAAGGACTCGAGGCGAAATGCAATTTGTTCTAATAAACACGCTGGCTCGGAGACAGAACTGTATCACGCATAAAATATTGTCTATCCAAACTGGAGTGGAATTTTCATGCTCCACGCACGACTGCACTATGCGCTGCGCACTGCTACTCGCTATACGTTTATATAGAGATAACGAGAGAAACAGAAAAAGAGAAAACGAGAGAGAAAAACTATGACGCTTCACGTTGAAAAGAAGCAACGGTACTCGCAGAGCTTGTGGCCTCCATAAATGTACTATCTTATATGCTACTTACTTATACATTATACGTATACTCGTCTAGGCACTGAAATGTGAAATACAATAGGACTACGTAGAAAATTGAAACATTTTAACGCCTATCCATGATCGCGGCTGCTTTATTGAATCATGATGACACTTTGGAGATCGTAGCAATGAATCTCGATTTAATCGGATGGCTCAATGTTTTTCAAGAAGATCATAATTACCATGGATCTCTTGAAATTCACAACAAGATTCAATTAAGCAGATCGCGAGTTAAAATGTCCGATGACTATTCGTTCAAGCCCGTAATATGAAACTTTCACTTTAGACAAAAGCAAAATTCCAATGAGCCGTCGTTATACAACTAACTCGTACTATTATTTACTCGTATTTAAATGAATGATTTATGTAATTTTAATGTACTTTCGCAGGTGGGTCTCTCTGCGACGCTGCAGCCTAGGCTCGCTTCAGCCGACGCAGTTCCCGGTAGACGGCCTACAGACTCTGCGCGTGGGCGGCAATCCGCTCATGTGCAACTGCTCGGTGCACTGGCTCTGGAACGTGCTGCGGGACGAGGAGCAGCGCCGCAACCTGTCGGACGGCGGCTCGCGGCTCGAGATCGACAGCGCGGAGATCATCTGCGCCGACGAGGAGTTCGCCGGCAAGGCTCTGCTGAGGCTGCCCGAGGGCTCGCTGCGCTGCAGGCTCAGTCCGCTCTATCTGGCGCTCTCGGTGGCCGGCTGTCTTCTGGCCACCATCGGTATACTCGCCCTCGTCGCCTACGTCACGAGGATGAAGAGGCGAAAGCGCGTGCCCACCTACGCCGCGCCTACGCACCCCGAGCTCCTGGTCTACGTCGGCCGAGCCAACGACGGCCTGCCGGAGAAGCACCACGAGTCCTACAGCAGACGCTTGATCGCGAGGACCGAGGATCTCGTCTACGAGGCGGCTAATCAAGGTGAGAATACAATCGTATCTCTATCGGCTACTTGCATCGATATCGATTACTCACGGCGCGTTTAAACGATGTTTGCACAGACTACCAGCGGTCAGGATCGTCGTCTGGACGCAAATCGGGCAGCGAATCGCCCGATTCGAGAGAGACGAACGTGTACGAGACGCCGCGCTACTCCCGTCCAAGTCCGGCACCCCGTTCCAACGGCTTCAATTCGTTCTACCAGCAGCAGATTCAAGCGGGCGCGCCACCGCCACCGCCGCTGTCGACGAACCACCTGTCGTCGTCGTCGTCGCAGCACAGTCCGTACGCGACGGCCAACGAGATGTTGTATGGCGAGAAGCAGCAGCCCGCCTCGATAGCGGTCGCGAACGGAAACTGCCTGCAGCCCCAGGAGGGCGTCTACGCGGTCGCCGACGTGACGAATTACCACGAGGACCCGTCGACGCTCTACCGTATGCAGCGTCAACAGCGCCAGCAGCAGCACAGGCATCCGTACGAGTACAGCGAGTACGAGTACGAGCCACCGCTGCCTCCCAAGCCGCACGTAGTTTTCGTTTAGAACGACGCTCGGCCCACATTTCTTCGGTAAATCGACTCGAAACTTATAAATATTATATATAAATTGTATATGTATAGAGAATAACATGGACAATGTTAGCCAATCGTTTTTTATATCTTACCGCGAACGGAAAGCATAACGCTCGGAAAGAGGAGAGAGCCGAGTACGAATCTCGGACTGCAGACCTCGCCTTTTCGAAAGACGATTATGGGTCGGCTTGGCGCGCGTAACATGCTCCGGCGAGATTTCATTCGATTTGTGTTAGAGCCATGTGACGCTGCGGAGGTGCACCTCGCGCGCGCTCGCTAATACACGCACAGCTGCCCACTTGCGCACTTACTGCGAGTGCACCGTTATCGGTTGCTCATGCTGACACTGAGAGTAGCTCCCCGCACCCAAATAAAAAGTTGACGCGCGTCGAGATCTCTATATTTCCAGTTCAGACGCCAGCTTTTAATTTACTTCGATGTTTGTTATTCAGCTCTATATCGTGTAGACGTTTTTTCCCATCTTTTATTCGATGTTACGTACTATCTCTAGATATTTAATATAGATGTTTTTGACGAATAAAGTTGTAACGAGATTGAGACTGGAAGCCGAGATGTGCGGATTAATCTAGACAGAGAGAGTTATTAATCCCACCGATCGACCGATCTGCTCTGTAAATAATAATATTGCGGGACAATCTCTCGGTGCAGCTGATGTCGACCGGTATTACTTTGAACATAATTGTACATATTTTTGAAAATAAAACACTTTTACTCGTCCAACCTCGACGAGATAAGTACTTATCACGACAACTATTGAGATTTGTATATTCTAACGATTATTATATATAAAATACATAAATTTATATTAAATTTAATGTTAATCATTCTTATTATTAAGTACTTTTTGTAATATGAATGGTCTAAAGATGAATTGAAACTAGTGAATATTATTTGTATGGTAAATAATTTTATCAAGTCTAATAAATTATATATCTTTGGCTTTTTCTCATGAAATATTTAAATTTGTTTCTCTCACTTATTGACGGTGTAATCTGCGAACCTCATTTTATCCAGTCACTTTGTGCATGTGAATTTATTTATTTTCACGTTAGTGTAACTTTTTGAACAAAATAATTGTAAAAATTTTCTCGAAAGCCTCAGATATATTATTAATATGAAATTTAAATATGTATGTACATATTACGGATAATAGCGATGTATGTACGCGTATGCGTACATATTTATATTAAAAATAAATAAATATGAAAAATATGAAGCATCTTCGTAAATATTTTAAATAATCAAATTGTTTTATATTCATCGTATGAGAAAAGTACTAATACCTAGTATATGAAACGTCACGTTGTGCCCGAATTGATACTTCGGTCAAGTACAATAATAAAAGATAATAAATAATATTCAACAACGCATCTAATTGAACATAAAAGCGATGATCGAGCGAAACATCTACGCTAATGGATGAAACGCGAAAAAAGAAAAAAAATGAACCGAAAAAGCTCCACTCTCGATTTTGCTATAATATGTTGAAGCTGCCACAGGAAACTCAAAAAAAGTAAACTTAAAGTGAAAAAATTTTTGAACATTAGATGAATTCTCACGCTTGGCAGATACGACAAGTACGTCCTTATACATTGAAAAACGATGTATATTTATCGAAAAATAAGCGCGACTCAATTTAAACACATCTCGTGTTGTATAAAAAGCCACATCCGACAGCCATAGATACTTGAAAAGTCTCTCACCACGATATCACATTAAAATTCGGTTAAAGATAATATATATCCATCGTGCAAGTCGAAGATTCATGAGCGTGGAAAAAAATTGTCACATTTCAAAGAGGCGCATTTAAAAAGAAAAAAAAAGAAAGAAAAAGTGGAACGAGGAGGAAAAAGACGCGGTCGCTTGTCGTTGAGTATAATAATAATAAAAGCAATGCTCGAAGAAGCCAAAAACGGGAAAAGCCTGGTCCAATCAGTGCGACACAGTATACGGACTCGAGAGTGTATTATACGAGCACCTGCTGCGAGAGAAGCTCTGCCAGGCCAGATACAATTCACAATTAGCCGAGCTGTATGCGCACGAGTATGTGTGTGCAGTCGTGAAAAGGGTTATTCAGCAAAGGGCTGCTGTGCTACTGCCGTTGCCACACTGCAACGTGGTATCATTAGCCGGCCCCGGGAGACATTCTCTCGGCGACTCTGCTCGATTTATATTGTATAAACAGCCGTGCGAACGCGGCGAGGATTGTTGCTGAAAATGCCATTTTCGCAATTACACGCGGCGGATATAATCCACACACGCTCGGGCGAAGAAAGACGCTGCTCGACGAGTCCAAGCGCCCATACTGCGTGCTTCTTGAATTGTATCGTACGAGTAGGCACGAGCCGAGCTGCGGCTGATTTCTTGCTTGCAGCGGACTCTGCTTGTGATTTTCCTTTATTGCGAGCTCGAGCAATGACAGTCTAACGTTTGCGTACTCGAGGACTTGTAATTGAAATGTATCCGTAATAATGTAAAAATGTGATGCGATATACGAGAGTGTGCTTGACTTTGTGCTGAATGTGCTGCGCGTTCAAAAGAAGTCTGTATACCGAGAGATTACGACGATGTATTTGTATTTTACGTGAAATAAATGAAGTTTTCATTAAAAATACCTTTGTGAAGTTTTATATAATTATTCCTCGCTCTTCGTTCTTCAAGAGACTTGGCAATTTTGAACGAGTTTCCACGTGCGCATGTATTAGACTTGGAAAAGTAGCTAATAACAGAAACTTGCTTCGAGCTTGGCAAGTATCGATTTTTTTACAGCTCTACACGTGCGTGTCATTACAGACCGCAGCCCCCACAGCACACAATAGCTTCGCGCTTGGGCTCTTAATGTTTCTATTGAAACATTGATTGATCGTTAATGATGGCCGTTCACTTTATTAAAATGCACCACCTATTTCGAGATGTGGAGCGGCGATGCTTCTTTGTATTCAGCAGCAAATCGAATCAATTTGCCAGCAGCAGTAAGCTCGTCGCTTTAGAGCAGGGTCATTCTCCGTACCTGCTAAGATAGCAGCATCCATGGCGACAGTTGCCCTCAGACAAAAAAGGTAATTTTTCTTTTAGTCGTCGGGCGCGTTATGCGCATTAGGTGTGTCGTCGTGTAGAAGCTTCCCCTTCGCGTCGATCGAGCAGCTCCAGCCAAATGATCCCTCGACACGGAAAAAATTGCAATTTTCAGGGAAAGCGCGCTTATTCGAGCGGCCGCGACGAGCAGCTCGAGTCGGGAGGAGATATACCAGAAGAGTACTTTGCAGTCCCCCGACGAGGACGGCCTTAACGACGCGACGAGATAATAAATAACAAAGCCTCGGAGAGTAATACGTAGGCACGCATTTTCACTGGCTTTTTCTTGTATAGAGCATTGTAATAAAGATGTGCGCGAGCAGGGGCAACGCGAGTATTGTGCGTACGCGATATTATAGAAAGAAAGGCCCGAAATGAAAACGTCTTCCCGAGAGATAATTACAGCTGCGACCGCCGTGGCTGCTCGTTGCTCGGCTTTAAGAAACGCATATTACCGTGTCAGAAGATAGCAGAAATAAATCAAATCAGAGCCAAGTCTTCATGAGGCTCGTTAGTTGGCACGCAAACTTTCGCGCGCGAGGACCATTGTAGGCACGAAGCTCAACAACGCCGACTTGCTCCCTCTTTTTCGCTCGCAATGTTTACAACTTGACTCGCACCTCTTGCTCTTTTGTGTCGTTATTATTGCGCTACTCTATCGGCTTCGTTGAATACTCCGTGTACGAATTTCATATATTATACATTATCTAGTCTACTCGCTTTGCCTGTATACTTTGTTCCGTCGCTTTTTCCCTCAGGCTGCACTGCCTTGTTCTGCGCGCTTTTGCCTTTTCAAAACGCACGAAGGAACAAAAAAGCTCGCACCGGCCACGGACATTTTTTTTATTTCATTACGTAGTTTGTTCAACGCCATTCATGACGCGATTAATGCATCCACGCGTAGACATACGCACACAGTAGAGGTGTCCGTTTGGCCACACGCATGTATACTAGTTTTGCACCAGTCACGACATCGGTATATAGTTACAGGTATAGTCGAATAAAAGTTTCGGCCGGCGCGCGGATGTTTGCACGAATCGATTGGGCAACGGCGGCCTCCAAAGGGACGGATCGGCTCCATATATTTTTCAGGCAAAATGGCAAATTGCGACAGGCTGATTTATATCTTATCTGGCGCGCGAGTCGATGCGGCGGAGATTTATTTTTTGCAATTATTATATCTGCCGCAGTCGCGGTAGACTTAGAGCACCCTCGGCGCTCCACGCAGTCCGGCTTGTGTATACATATAGTTATGATGTGCGATATGCAGCGAACCACGCGAGATACATGTATAACCAGTTTGACGAAGCGTGTATATGTGCGGCCAGTACAATATGGCGTTGCAGCTCGCTCCCCGTCTCTCGCTCTTCTATACATATTTTAAATCAACGTTAACGAGGCTTGAATATTTATACACGTTTCACGTTTGCCCGGATGGCGAATACGTATTGGCCTTTTTAATTGTTGCAGGCTCCGCGATCAGAGCGCAACGGCGTCGGGGCCTAGCCGCGCATCGAATCCCCTCGGCTCTCGACGAGAAGTTAATTATTTTTCTTGCGGCCAATTATTGGCGTCGAATACGGTCGCGCAAGCGCTCCACCGACGGCTCTGGATTTTATTACCCTGCGCCACCGCACATATATCGGATAACCATTAACTTTGGCTTATTTTTTTCTGTTTTATCATTTGCTGTATAGGTATGCGCTCGTATTATGCAGCGGCGGCGGCGGCGCACGAGGTGGTCCAAGCTCTGCATAAACTCCTATGAGCTCGCAACGCAAAAGGCTCCAATGCGGAATATACATTATTGTTTTGCACGCACTGCACCGCGGCATATCATAATGTATAATATTAATGATCGCAATCGCAGCTCGTTTCGAAGCGATACATTTATTGATTGATAGTGTATCGGAGTTTTAACGGCGCGCGCGCTCGCGTATGAAATATAGACTGGCGGTGCAGAGTGCGCGAGGCGTGCATTCAATCAATACATACGTCGGCAGCGGTAAATGTTTTTAATTGCGCCTGTCGTCGGTAATTAATGATATGCCGCTGAGGTGCGATTTCTTATTATGTAAATAAGCCGTGACTCGGTGCCCGTCCCACCACTCCCATACCATATGTTTTTCACTTCTTCGTACAGATTCCAAGACTCGGTCCACGCACCATTAGCTCGCTACTGCATAAAAATATCTGGGAAAAAACAATTGATGAGCTGCAACGAACCGTGACGAGGAGAATTTTAACGCTTCGATGCTCGCTATCGCTCGATACAGCTTCGATAGATACCACAAAGGGATATCTGAATTATGAAGTAAGATTAAAAACGCAACTTCCTTTGGCAATTCCAACCGGAGGTTATAACTATAGGTATGGACGCTTTCGAGGCTGCAAAATTTATACACGGGCTAGAATATCGACGATGTAGCCAGTTCGCAGACTTGTTGCGAGTATTCCCTCTGTGCCATTGCTATATGTACAACTGGATATCTATATGTATTTGGCCTGAAGCAGCTTGTAGGACGTGTACCGAGCTCTGCAATGGCATAGCAGCTCGCGTAACGCGAAGAATAAACTATACTTCTCTAGTCGCGAACTGCAGTTCGCATCCTTAAAAGATGCAGGCAGTAGCGCAGCTGAGCCACGCCACAGACACGATATTATCGTCGGCTGCGTACCATTCTCTCTCTCTTTCTCTTTCACCACCCGTTAGTCAAGACTCTACGTGCGCGCGGACTTACATAATACGGAAACAAGATGCGCGCTTGCAGCATGATGAAGAGTTTCCACCAAGTTACGAGCAGTGGAAAATGAAAAAAATCTTATAGTTGCCAAACGCGTCGATTATACAAATATGATTGCATTAAGGCCAAGATTGTCATGAAAGATTACTGCTTTTGTCCATGAATGAGATTCAATAAAATTTTATATAATTGTCAAGTTTGTGAATAATTCTTGTACCTCAAGTTTAAATGAATTTTATCATTTTAAGTTTTACAAAACTCTGATAGTTAAGC